CTGAGTTTGTGTGTCCGTTGAAATGTCTCTTACGTGTGATTTCTTAAAGAGCACCTTGCCACTGTTAGTTTTTGTCTCTCCAATTTCTTGAATGGGCTCTCGAACTTCGAGTATTTTCATTTTCCTGATAAAATAGGGCAATAAAAAAATGAAAATTATTCAATTATAAAATGATGGAAAATCATGGTCAGTTAACTGACTCTAAAATTGGGTTGTTGGTTGGGGTACGATTATTTTATAAAATTTACTTTTCATAATTTTTTGATTTCTTGGAAGAAAAACAAAATGCCATTTTAATAAAAAAATTGCAGTCATAATTTCGTTTCCTTTTTCTTCTGGCTAAATTTAGTTGCCGCATAATAATTTGAAAAATTAGGAAAAAATTATTTCTAAAAGCTTGTTGATGACGTGCATGAAATGTTAATCACTGTTGATAAATGTAGTGGCACATTGGGGTATGTATGTAGTAGTAACTGGGTGCCAGTGCACATTGTAGAGTTTCATCGCTTTGAAAATTATTTTATCTCCATAAACTCATAAAATTTTCGTTTGTAACATGTCAGCATTATCAGTAGAGGTCAATGTGTTCTAATAATTTTTTTAATCCCAAATACGTGTCTTCAAAACATTGAAACGCCTTCAAAATATTCATCTGCTTGTGTGAAACTGTCAAAATAAAATGTTTTGCCTGAATTCAGATATGCTATTTTTTATTCGTCAGCGACATGTTTGAAAATATTGACGCAATCCAGAGGAACGTGTGAGCGGCGAGCACGGAATTGAGATGTTTATGACGGAGAGGAAGGGAGGCACGCAGAGGCAGAAATGAGTGCCATCAAGTTAATCTCAAACGTATGCAAACGCGTTCACAAGATGCCAGGTCGCATGCTAATGCGCGGAAAACTCGAAAGTAAATTTCATACGACAAATTTTAAAGTTGTTAGAACAAACACACATTGCAACAAATCGCTAATGGGTGGCTTTCTCTACCTAACAGAGTTGTTAATTTTTAGCTTTATTACATTAAAAATAAAATCATAAAGACGATTTAAATAAAAACAAACAAAGAAAAATTGTTAGTTGAGAGACATCATATGCAGATGTAGGAAGAGGTTCAAGATGTTGTATGTCCCTCACATATGTTGGTTCTTCTATTATTAATGGCAACATGATGACTTCGTCGTTTCGCCTTGTAGTGTTTTGTTGTTTATTTGTTGTTGTGTGTGATTACGTGTGTGTGTATTTAAACATGTGTGTGAGTGTATGTGTGTTGTGGTTTGTGCTGTTGTTGTGTGTGTTTCTAAGTTTGAGTGTGTCTGCTTCGGTTTCTTAAAAATATGACAGTTTAATGTATTCAGTTTAATATCAAATTTTAAAATTCAATAATCATCACCAATCTTAAATTTAAAAATTTTCAATAATTGAAAGACATCACAATTAGTCTTAAAAAACAACTGCACCCTTAAAGACGATTCCACTTTGAAGCGTAATCATGTTACAAATGAATTTAAATGCTCTATTGACGACTGTGAGCGTCAACATCATTCCTATATTGGTGCTACGACAAATTCACTATCAAAACGTCTCAAAATGTATACACAAAGAGGAGCCATCTAATCTCACTTGCAAACCACACATGCAACTCCAATGGCCCACCAAATTTTTGACAACAACATTAAATCAATTTATCAAAACACCAAAACTATACATCCAAAAATTGCAGAAGCTGTCCTAATAGGTATCAATAAACCCCAAATAAACATCCATCAAAGGATAACATCATTACCAACTCGACGCTTTAATACTAACTTCAACAACATTTAATAACATAGGAATGACAACAACAAAGATGAAAAATACGATACCAACTAATAAACTTTGCTAAAGAACTTGGTTCTGTTTAAAGAAACTATATGAACCAAAGCTGCACTGAAGATGATTTATGAAAAAATCGAAATAAAGCCTATCTGCATGATGAATTTGAATAACAGCAGTTTCATTTAATTTTCATGATGATTTTGGATAATAATTTTATTTTAAATTAATTGAACTATTTCCAGAAAATTAAAGTAGGGAAAATTAAAATGACAAACTTAAAATTGATATATGACTCTAGATTCATTCAAAATATTTAATTTACCTCTCGTAAATATTATTTGGTCAAATCATTTCTGAAATACTTGAAAATTATTATTATTTTTGAAAAATTTTCACAAATTAGTTTTCATATTTGAAGCCAGCATTTCGAGTCGCCTCTGAGGTATTGCGACCCATGCAAACTTCCCGCTTCGACAACATTAGTTAAAAAAGCTTAAGGCACCACGCTGCTCATTTCAATGTGTTAACATAGATAAATAATTAAATTTTAAAATGATATATAACATTCACTGGTAGCCAAAAATAACTTTCTAAAAACAACTCCAAGAAGTTGAACCTAGTAAAAAGCGACATTGTTTTCCCGTCAACCTAAAACTACAAACAATTTTGTTCACACTGGTCTTATTATTTATTCAAATGTTTACATAGTGATGGGTTCTAATTTTAGATGGGATTGAATGGAACTAGCACACGCAGTGGTGCATGGCTGCATTTTTTTCTTTGAATATTTCATGAACATTATCTTCTGTTCTTTTGTCGGTCAATTATTTTCAGATGATTTTCTGGTTTTTCTTATAAATGGTCTATTTTGATTCATCTGATTCTGAGGAAGGCGATCAAATAAATCTGATGTTTTTTTTTATTTTGCATTATTAATAAAAGGATGCTAAAGAATGGATGAGAAGTTATCAACGCAATAGAAATGAAGTAAATTAATCTTATAATGTTGTTAATTACGAAAGCTTCAAATAACATTACTCAATTATACATATAAATATATATATATATATATATATATATAATATATATATATATATATATATATATCTGTGTGTGAACGCATACACGAATAAAGACCACAAATAGGAAATACATTTGCGTCGCAACGAGAAGTTGCTAACCCCATTGTGACGTCACAGGAAGTTAATCACCTTTAAAATGGGCGCAAATGCAAGGACGTTTAAATGAAGAAAACTTGATGTATGTTGATGTTTTGTTGATGTTTGTGCACGTATGCTGGGTTATGTTGATGTGTGTTGATGTATTTTGATGTATGTTGATGTAATAGTTGGTGTATTGCTAGTGTTAGTTGTTGATGTTTGTTGATGTATGTTGATACATGCTTGTGTATAAGTTGGTGTACTGCTGTCGATGTTGTTTGCTGTTTGTTGAAGATTTCAAAAATTAAAATCAAACTAGCTTTTTGCTTGATGTTTTCAATAATTTTAATGATTTTTTACTTAATTTTTGTTTTACATTGGTGAGTCTATCAAAATTTATGTCTCATTTTTTAAAAACCTAACAGCCAGAGTTTGTTAGAGTTTGTTGGTGTTTGATGATTTCTTAGAAGGTGTCTGAATGCGTGGGTGGGTGCACGGGTTGAAAGATTGACGTCATGTTATTTCTCGCCATCAAACTAGCTAACATCCTTTCCTGCCTACTCTAGCATTCTTCATTCTCCTCTTTCACTTACTTTTCTTTGTTGTTTCGCTCATTATTTTTTAAATTTTTTTAATATTTGTAATATTCGATCATCTTGGCCAAGTCAATGAAATTAAATTTCAAATACTGCACATAAAATAGAATAATCATTTGTTTGATTTTCATAATGCGACGTCAACTCTTTCGATCGTTTGTTGCTAATTATGTTTTAGGTTCAGCATTTCTATTGTTAGTTATTTTATCAAATATTTTTGTATCACTTCATTCCAGTAACTTGAAGTGATTTAATAATATCCAATTTGTGTACACTCCAGTCCATAACCGATTGCATGCAGTAAATTCAATTCATTCTCCCATTCCAACACTAAAAAAATGTGAGATAACAATCTTTTAGAAATAATCTTTTTAGACGAGTGAAAAAGTTTTTCTCATTAATCTTTCCGCTTATCTGCAGAATTTTTTTTGTCTGTTAATTCATCATCAGCATTCATCCCATCAGTCAAATGAAATATCACTAAGAAGCTTCATTCATTATCAACTCTTCAGGGCTCTCTGGTAAATGCGATCGTCAGAATTGAATAAGAGTTTCAATCATTCAAGTTTCAATCATTCGCAATGGTTATTGTCTGTCTGATTGGTTTTAAATATAAAAGTTTGGAACAAAAATAAATTGAATCGTTACCAATAAAAGTTACTAATTCCGATTTCCACTTTAATTAGCCGTCCATGGTGAATTCTCTTAACCAAACCAAACTGCTCTAAATAAAATTAAAACTGAATTTCGACTGAACATCTGTGGGATTCCAATCATTTAATTGTTTTAATGATTGTTTTAACATCTCAACGAACTGATTGCTTCAATTGGACTGAAATAACGTCCCATCAAGGGGCCAGTCTTAACAAGTCCGATGCTTTAATCTTTTCTCAATACGTTTGATCGATTGAAAACGTTTCAACGAATCAGATGAACGAATGAGCGAGGAAATGAATAAATGAATAGAAAATGAATTAATAAGATGGATGGATGGATAGAAAAAGCAGATGAATGAAGGAAATTGATAGATGAATAAAATTGGAAAAATTGTTGGCTGATCAGATTATAAAATCAATAACAAAATGAGCAACAAAAAATGAAAAAATAAAAATTATCTATTGTAAAAGTTTTTGGTTAAAAATGCCAGTCTGAAACAAATGCGTCCATTGTAATTTTGTAATATCAACTATAAATAATTTTCGAATTTATATAAAAAATATGGTGTCAAAAACAACAACACATTTTTTGTTATCAATTGTTGTTGGAGACCAAAAATATCATCCCATCAATGAATCGTTCTTGTCCTGAATATTTTTATCACCAGTAAGAATATCAGCTGCTTTTGAAACAACTGCTTTCAACTAAAATGTGTTTCGTCATATTTCTACCGAAATGATTTTCAGAATTATTTTAAGTTTCGGCAACAATGAAAGTTTACCAAATTCCCAAATCTGAAACAGACGTGAACTCGCTGGACAACGGCAACTACACCTGCGAGGTCAGAGGAGACAACTACACTTTGCTCGGCTCAACTACACACTACGTCTACATCAAATGTTAGTTGACATCATTTCCGAACATTTTAAATTTTGATTTTCGTTCAGTTTTGACAAACATATTTTTTATAATTTCTTCTTTTGCAGTTTTGAGTATTTTTTTTTTATTTTTTTTGTTCAAGTTTCAGTTTTGAATAATGCATAAACTGCCTAAATTTCATTCATGTATACAGCCTGTATTTATTTCTACAATTTTTATATTCACCTGTTGGTTGTTCTTTCATTTTGATGGTAAGATTTGATTCAAGCAGATATTGGTTTCTCCATGTTTTCATCAGTTTATAAACATCCGATTTTTAATGTTTATATTACTTTTTATTTTATTTTACTTAATATAACATTATTTTGACGTCTTTGTTGAATCATATTTTCATCTAAAGTTGTGGTGTTCATACATTTTATATCGTGAAGAAAGATTTAACTCAAACATTATAATGTTAACTGTGATTACAAGCACACCAACTCACACACAGACATATAAGCACAGACATTCTTTCAGATAAACACACACAAACAAACAAACACACACACAGACACACATATATCACGATTGAGAGTTAGAGCAAGTTGGGTGTGGATGAGCAGCAGCGAGCCATGGACGGTGCATGCATTGAATCTCCATTTGAATTCATCAATCACTTTCGTCTTATTGTCTTTTTCTCTAATCAATCAATCAGTCCAGTCCATAGTGATACTTATATAGAGATGTTTCTATAGATAGACACTTTATGTATATCTTAACTATGGCAACAGCATTCATAGGATATGTTGTAGATATATGATAGGTGTATATACATCAATACATATAACTTAAATATATGTGCAGTTTGTTGGAAAACACAGGCCAAAATTAAATATATAGAGTCCTTCTTTTGTTGAAGCTTTTGTTTTAAAAATATACCTCGTTGTTGTTTTTGATAACGCAAAATATGAAGATGACGTCATTGTATTGTTTTTAGTTTCAATTGTAAATTTTTCATAAAAATTATTTTCACATATTTCGTCATTTCAAATAATTTAATCATCATTTGTTCATTCACAATTCTGAAAAAGTATGAAGAGATTGTAAGCTTAGATGAAACAATGAAGCTAAGTGATGATAACTAAACCATGTTGACGCCAATTAGGCTGACGCCAATGTTGATCATTAACTGTTACGATTACAATGATGATGACGACGATAATGATGACGATGACATTAAATGCTAATAAAATTTATTAACTTCAACTTCACTGACCCACAACCAGCTACCGTGAAAACCATCCTACTGGTGTACAACAACGAGCTGAGAAGCAACCAATCGAACATGAAGGTGCACGAGGGCCAGCCGGTGGCCATCAAGTGCATCTCATTTGGTGGCTACCCCGAAACCTACCTGCAGATCATCATTGGCAAACGTGACGTCACAAGTTTTTTTCATCTCAAATCGAGCGTCTCATTACTGGGCAGTGTTGGACTGCGTCAGATCATGCGGAAGGACGAGAGGTGGACTCGAGATTTCGTGTGAGTTCAACTCTTGCTTTGTCGTGTCCTGCATATCTTAAATTTAAAATGACATGGGATGGGATGCATCTCCAACTTTTCTTTCTATCTCTCTCTTTAAATTGATATATATATATATATATATATATATATATATATTCAATTCAAATAATCTTTCATTCAGCAAAGTATTATAAAGAAATACCTCATTAGGAGAGCTGAAGTTTACACTTGTTGGACCTGCGATATAAAAATTTGAACCAAACAATTTGCCAAATATAACAAAAATATTAAGAAGATTAATATAAAGAAAATAAATTTTAAATAATTAATAAACATAAATTAATTTATTAATTTCTAATAAATAAGATTATAAAACTAAATAACATGGCCTAAATTAACATAATTTGACAACAATAAACCTTAATTAAACATTAATGAAAGAAGAAAAATGATTCGTCAAAATCAATTGAAAGACAGATTTCTTAAATATAACAAGGGTGTTTGAGTTTTTTTTATGAATCTGTAATAAGTCTCAAAGTCGACAAAAAACATTGAAAGCTGAATTAATAAAAACGTTTGTACGAGGTTTTAGCGAAATAAAAATCGGTGTTAGGTCTCAAGAATATCACCCGTTCATTGATTTAATGGTTTAATTGATTACGCAAAGAAGAGCAGTAATTTAATTTAAACTGTTTATAAAAAAAAATCATTGATGTGTGTAGATTGTGTAATTGAGGAACTTATCAAGTTGTGGATGAAAGAAACAAATGAATCACATGATGACATTTAAATAAAACAAAATACGAATAAAATATACAAATAAAATACAAATGTGCGCAAATTGAATATTAAAATTTCGTTGATTACTCCGAAAAAAAATTTTTATTTGTATGCAAAACAAACACAAACATACACACATACACACACACAAAAACACCTACAAACACGCATTTTAATGGCGTTTAGTTTTGATTAAAAATATTAATTATGAAAAATCTGCTAAGTTGGATTATTTATGTTAATTCTGTTTTAAAGTAATAATTAAAATTAGTGTTTTGTATTTATCAATTGATATGTGGGTGTGTTTTATTTTTATATGCTGCAAAAATATCATCTCAATAATTTTTAAACTTCTGGAACTTGTATTTAAACATTGCAGAGATAATCATGCTGCCTATAAATAAATCACCAGGCTCACAGTAATTTATGCGTCTCTGCTGCTCTTACCTCCAGCATTTCTTGTCAGCATTTCTTTTTTCTTATTAACATGGTTCTATGATTCCATGATTGCATAATTCCTTCACTGCATCATTACGTTGTTTCATAATTCTAATTAGTTTGGCTGCATCTTCATATACTTCATCATTGGTTTTTTTAAACATGACAATGCTTACCAACTGTTTCTATAGCAGAGTTGCAAAGGTATGCGACCAACCATTAACTCCACGCCTCTGCAAACCTTCGCTTGAATAGGCTGTTTAGTTTCTCATCTAAGTAAAATCATTTTTATTTTTCTTTCACATTTTAATTCACTTGAAAGCCATGATTTTTAAACTATTTGCGCCGAGTATGTTTGCTGCTTTGTTATCTTTCTTGTCTCAGCTCATTCAAAAACTCTGTTGTCAAGCTTATGCATGTTTAACTGATGCGTGTGTGTGACTGTGTGTGTGTGTGATACATTTTAACTCTGTACCACAACAGCAAGAAGGACATTGCTGATAGCGGGAAGAGAAGTTTTCGACAGATAGATAGATATGAGACGAAGGATATGAGCAACGAGGCATGCACCATTTTCTTCGTTACCTTACGTCATAATCTTGATGTATAATTTTCCAATAATTAATATTATTCCAAAAAAAATGGAAATATTTCATTAATTTTTTGCACGTTTGATGGGTCGATCAAACAGTTCAAAGTAAAGTTTGAAGTATGTGGTGTTAGATTTATAGCAATGACTTCCATTCATTAAGCCTTGCTGCCGTTCAGCTGCTCACAAAATATCTTATTATACATTAATCATAATTCCACAGCATCGAATTCCTTCGAAGCAGAACTACGCGGAAACTCTCTGGAGTCTGTTGACGGAATAATGATGGAAACACAGATTGTACATTGTTTGGAGTTGCTGATGAGTTTCTACAGAGAGGAAGAGCGCTGCAGGTGGAGGTCAATGACCTTTCTTAGATCTTGACGTCATCAACATCGGCATCAGCAGAACAATGTTAAAAAAATGGGACATAAATAGGAGCGCTATAAAAATTGCTGTTATAAATCGGGCAGAAATGTTTTTTAACTGAAAAATATCCTACGCCAGAATAAATCTCTCTCTCTCTTTTTTCTCTATTTTCTGCACATATAAATAAAGTTAAAATAAATAAAGAGAGAGAGAGAAGAAAGAGAGAGAGAGAGATTGTATACATTGCATCCTACATGGAATGGCATCGTAAATTTAGGTCTGTGTTTGTTCATGATTATGTATGCATGCCTTGATTGGCAATGATAATTTGAGCCATGCGTACGGGCGATTAATGCTTTAATTTGATATGTCAGGCGATATGAGAGAAGCATCATATCATATTACATTCCATTGAACGCTCTTCGTTTGTTGGTTTGTACGCTCGTTTGCTTGATTGCTTGTTTATTTGTTGGTTTTTTGTTCATTCGTTCGTTCGTTCGTTAGTTTGTTCGTTCTTTCGTTTGTTTGTATGTGTGTTTGTATGTTCATTTGTTTGTTTGTTAGATTGCATGTATGTATGTATGTATGTATGTATGTATGTATGTATGTATGTATGTATGTATGTATGTATGTATGTATGTATGTATGTATGTATGTATGTATGTATGTATGTATGTATGTATGTATGTATGTATGTATGTATGTATGTATATATGTATGTATGTATGCATGCATATATGTTCGATCGTTCGTTTTCTGGTATGTTTGTCATTTTGCTTGTTCATCCAGAGCCAGATGCAGCGTTGAAGGTTGTTGCTCTGTCTGTTTGTGAGTTTGTTTGTCGTTCGGTTTTTGCTACATAGTCCAGCTTGCTCAGTTTTTCGTTCTGTGGTTTACTGCCTCTCTACTCAATAAGTCATTGATGATATGTTTCAAAATATGTATTGACTGTATTGATTGTGTTGACTGTAATTGTTTTTGTTGGCTTAATTAATTATTGAGGTTTAAATTCGGTGTGACTAATGCCAAGCTGTTCTGATTTGATTTTCACTTCTTCATTACTTTTGATCACTTCTCAAATGTTGTAACCAACTTTTTTCATTTTTCTATCCAATGAAAAACAATTTTTCAACTTAGTTTATCGATTTATATTCTTTCAATAATAATTTGCTATAAAATTAATTTGCACTCTATGAGACTTGCTTAAGCAGCATCATGCTGGACGCTGGACATTAAAATGATGAATTCACGTATTTTAAAAATAATAAGTGATCGATTCAACTTGAAGATTCCGAGCGGACGATGATGGATTGAGATTGAAATGCGTTTCCACGATGGCTGGCATGTCCACTCAAGTTCAATACACGCGCCTTGATGTACTATGTGAGTACTTCCATGCTTTCATTTCTTATTTTATATGCATTTATTTTATCAAAGTTATTTTTACGATTGATTTTTTCAACAAAATTGAAACGTTTCATAACTTTGTTGTGTTTTTGAAAAAAGTGGAAAGGGACCGCTAATTTTATACAAACTACATTTGCGTGAAACTACTTGCTCTATTCGATGGTTCGCGAGTTATAGAACAGTAAATTCATTTAAAATGAAAGTCACAAATGAAATGACTGAGACCTGTGTGAAGCAAACTTACAGCAGTCCGTTTGTGGTGAGCGACATCTTGGGAGGACAACATGCCAGCCCACATAAATAAACAACACTTCTCTGCCAGAGCCGACGCAACAAATGTTTTTTTAAGAAAGGTCTCGAGGCGTTCATTCGCTCTACTGTTGTTTTTTTTTGTTGTTAAAAAAATTTTTCAATTTAACAAATGAATAAATAATTGCAGCTCTAGTTGGATTTAATTTAATTCATCGCTCACCAAAACAGCTGCTGTTTGGAATGATGTCTGTTGTGATGCTTCGTGCATCGTCTGTTTTGCGCCTCATAGAGTATTTCAGTAATTTCATTCAGTTTTTAAAATATGCCTTCAAACTAAATTAAAAATTTACAAAAATTGTTCAATACCTACAAACATTTTTGTTTGTTTTTAAATTTTTTATTGCTCCAAAAATAGGTTTTAAGCTAAATATTTTAAACAAATATTTTAAATGGACCAAAGGCTCAATCAATTTGATCGGCATTTATAAAAATATTTCCCTAGAAAAATATTTTGAAGAAATTATAGCACAGTCGTTGATGACTTATTTGAGAATGAGCTGTGACCTCCCACAGCCAGCCAGCCAGCCACCTCCAAACATGCGTTACAATGCGATAAATCATTCAATGAAACGAACACCACTTCCAACTTAGCGATTCTTAGTGACATTATTTAAAACTCTTCGTTTAAACACCGATGACTCTTACTAAATTTACTTACTCAGCCACAAATATCTTGTTAAAAACGATGTTTTCAACTGGTGACAATTTCAAAATATTGTTGATCTGTATTGTAATGAAACACAACGTCATCTAAGCAAGCAACAACTCAACATATATACAAATATTGTTTTGTATAGCAGAGAAACTAAATAAGTTCCGTTTGATCGTTGTTTTGAAATTTTCATTTTAGGTACTTTTTATTGGATGAGCTGAACTACATTTGAGCAATTTAACACCAACAAGTTTAATGTTAATCAACTTTTACGTTTTTAAATTTTCAACCTCCAAAAATAAATATTATCATCACGCTTATTAAAATGGTTCGTTCTGAAAATAAAGTTATTTTTGGATATAAATTTTAAACTTCAATTAATGAACGAAAATATTAGATACGGTTGGCACCCCATTTTGAAATAAAGCCAAAATTTATTAATTGGATTACGATTATACACTGTTGGCTGATTGCAAATTTTAGACCAGATCAAGTCAATCAACTTCATTATTAACACAATGCTCCTTCTTGTGCACTCCGTCACATTTCCAAAACTTTCACCACCCCACCCTCGATTTTATGGTTAATGTTCCCACCACTAATATCTTGCCACCATCATTATGATACTCGTGATGACCACCACCACCAACAAATTTACACGGCCACCACAACATGGCCACAACCGACTGCAGCAGAAGCAGCAACAACATCAAACTTCATCAAATGTCGACTCACGTTGAGATGACTTCATAAGATAATTCATCCCACCCACCGTCATGCATATTCATGAATGGCTTTTTCATCTCTTACATTTTAAACTAATTTTTCAAATATTTTGTTTCCAAACCTTCCGAGATCTTGTGCGGCATAAAATAGAAAAAAAATTGAAATACTTTTTGTTGGCTGCATACATTAACTTATATTGAGCATTATATTAATATTTCGCTGCTGGCAATTTCATTTATATTAATAGCATTATTAATTTGTTATCATTCTTTTAGTTATTTGTTCAGAAATAACAACGACACCCGCACATCGTATGTGAATACACAAAAATCTAAGCATCACACACATTTGCGCTTATGAGGTTCTTTATGAGAGACGCATTATAAATCATCAAATACAATACAATACAACTTAATACAATACAACACAATACAATACAACACAATACAATACAACACAACACAATGCAATACAATACAATACACTAGCAATGGTAAGCAGAGATTTCTTCTCATTTGAACATAGTCACTGCTAGCCATCCCACCATCTGGTCTCTCTAGTTTCTATTAAATATGCCACTGCTGCCACACTGAGATATTTTGTCACAGGTAGCACATGGCTGTAAGCAGGTTTAAAATGACTGCATACTAGTTGAATTTCTTTTTAATACATTCTCCTAAGTGTCCTCTGCGGGATGAGTTGCATCGATTGCAGTTGTTCGTCACTTATAATTGTTGTACAAAATTTAAACGACAATAAAATAACTTTAACTCTTGCAATCAAGTTTAATTAGTTTAATTACTGTTTTAATGAACTTAACTAGCATATAATATTGAGTAACTTTTGTATGAGCCCCGTGCAACACTGCTGCCCCAACAAGCATTTGAGGACTAACCTCATTTGAATGCAAATATGCCAGTTCGTATTTAAGCAAAAGCTTTCGTCCTCTGTCCTGTTGAAACGCGCTCCAAAAACACATTTTCGATCAAAAATATATTTCAGGTATGTATTTACATGTCATTTTATTTGACGTTTTTTGTCCTTTACAATTTAATTGATATTTTTAAAATATTTTTCAATTCGATAATTTTAAGACTTTCTCCATTTACAATCCCTTCAAAGATGATGATTTTATTCCTTATAATAAAGGGGTCAGAAATGATGATGATGATGAAACTCCGATGAAAATGATGACGATGACGATGATGAAGATGGTGATGATGATAAGGATTTAGATGATGATGATGACGATGAACTGATGATGATAATGATGATGAAACTCCTATGATGAGGATGATGAGAATGATGATGATGACGATGAAGATGATGATAACGATGATGATGATGATGATGATAACAGGGCAGCTTATTGAGCAGCATGATGGTCAAAAAAAGATTGATGATGATAACAATGACCATCTGCTCATCCCTCGCTGACTTGCTTCTTCTTCCCATCTTTTAGTTTTTTCATTTTAATAATAGAGTACTACTGAAGTCGTTTTTGTGACTTAAAGATGTCTTCTGTCGTGTTCTATGTATTAAAATATCTGGAGTTGTTCAATAGACTGACTCATTACATGAAATGAACGTTCATTTCTTATTGTAAGAATATCAAAGCGTGAGAGATGTGCGAATTTAACAACTACTATGATCATCATCTTCATCGTTATCATCATCATCATCGTTTGGTCATCATTGTTATCATCATTACCATCATCATCGTTATCATCATCATCATCGTTATCATCATCGTTATCATCAAGAAAATCGCGTTAGCTAGGCAGTTGATACGAAGTTAAATAATGAGTTTGAAACAATAAATTATTTTGCTTGCTTGTGCACCAATATTAGAAATAATCTAGAAAGTCTGAATATCAATTCAGCGCTTAGTAGAATGTTCTTAGTTTACCGTGCACTGGCCCAATGCGGGACGAAAGAAAGATAGCAACGGAACAGTTGATAACGTAAAAGTCAACAACTACGACAGATGCGCCTCGGATATCCTGCTTTGATGTCTCGGCCACCGTCAATGACCTTAACGTGACCTTGAGGTGCAACGTCACATCCAAACCGCGACCCGACTCTTTTGATTGGTTCAAGAAATCAACCAATGAGACGCTGAGTGACAAACATGTGCTTCAAGGAACTTCGGTTTGTTCAGTGATGGATGGATGGAATGGGGCTGACAAAAAGTTGCTGGTTGATTATTTTTTGATTGAGTGGATGGTTGATTGTTGGTTGATTGGTTGAGTGAAAATTGATTGGTCGGTTGACTGTTGAATGGTTGATTGATAGTCAATTGGTTGATTGTTGGTTGATTGATTGAGAACCAGTATTTGGTGGATGCATGCAAAATGATTTATAAGAAGACAAATGTTTGATCAATAAAGTATTTAGCTGGAGAAGGTGAATGATTAGTTTTTCTGTTAGTCAACTGAACAGGAGAGGCGCTTGGTTTTTATTTTTTTCCATTTGTTTCTAATAAAATTTTATAAAAAAATTTAAAAAGAAAATATTGAGAATCTAATTTTTAAACGTTGTGTCTTTCTTTTGTTATCTATCTGAATGAAACATTTAAATCAATGGCGTTCCATTGAAATGAATTAATTTGTTTTTATTCTATGGAGGATAACTAAATAAAATATTAGGATGTAGCTGCAATCATATATAAGCAGAAGAAACCTGCTTTAAGTAGCACAGTAACAGATGCTTTCGGGAAACAAAACTGAGATGTGCAAATGGTTGATAACTGATGAATGATGCTTAAATCTCAAGAAATAAAAGAAAAGATGAATGATCTGTATTGGAAAGAAAAATGGATTGAATGTTTAGGAAACGCTTGGTGTCATTAAAATAACACCATTTAAATATTCTAAAAATGAGTTTTATTTGTATTATTTTTTTAATCAGTAATTAGTTTAATTTGCAACGAAAATTTTTATTGATAGGAGCTTGGAAATGGCTTGTTAGAAAGTTGGTTAATGCTTGAACACCTGGGCGTGGAATCCTTCATGACGTACGAACTGGTGGTCCGCAACGAGGTTGGCCACACGGCAGCCTCTGTCAAGCTCATGCAAAGTACGCTGGCCTCAATATTTCATTCACAATCGTCGGTAACATATTGCAATTTGCAAACAATTAATTCGAGATTTAAAAAATTTTCAAAATAGGAATATAAAATTTTTTATAAAATTTTAGAAATTAGAGCGTAAAAAGCCGTAGAACATTTTCATTGAACAGAATCCTCGGCCCCGGTGCATTACAATCAAGTTTACTCCGACTCCCTGCCGTACAACATCCTAACGAACGACGACGACGTTGATAAGCGCTTGAAGAGCAATCTGATTAATTATAATTACTTCAAAGATGAGACCAACGCCAACAACACAGACAAAACAAGCAATAACGTGACGTTAGCATTTCATAAAAAAGCAATAAAGGCTAAGAAAAGGAATAAAACTAAAAACGGTTCGCAAGAGGGCAACTCGAGCAAGATCGTACAATACGACTTTGTGAGTTCGAACAACAACAGAACGATCACCGAGAATAAGAAGAGCAACCGCAACATCGTTTCCAACATGAAAGCAGCGCTTCATCAACTGAAACACGATTCGCAAGATCGGCGACCGCAGCTACCGGCACCAAACAGACAGCGTCACTATCATAAATACGCCTGGTCGTCATCGCCCGACATCCGCCGGCATCATGCCCGTAATAAATACTGCTTACACTCTCTCTTCATGTTACTTCTTTTCATTGTGGCGTACTTTTATTGTAGGTTTTAAGATATCTCGTTCTTTTGTTCTGTGAGCAAGTGTTTGCTAGTTTTGTAAAATATGTATTTTGTATATAAGTATATTTATATGTGAATAATATTTGTGATAACAATCAATCGATAACATTAGCCAAACAATGCGTGAACATTTTTTTGCATTCAACGTTCATTCAATATTTTGAACAAATTATCGATATTAAATTTCAACTAAAACTTACAAATGACAGTAACAAAAACTCTTGAAAACATTTTGGCAAACTTACGATTGACGTAACAGTGGATGATGCTTAGACCGATAAAATCTAACCAACAGCACTTGTGCTCGCCAACATCTTAACATTCTGAATTTAAAAAAGATATGGTATCTAAATACAGTTCGAAACAAACAATCATTACGATTATTTTTATATTTTGATCGCTTGACAATATTTTATCAAAAAAAAGCTATATCAAATAATTTGTTGTCGTCCAAACCAATGCACGCTACGCTTCATGGTCCTTTCGATCTATTTCTAACTTCTTCTTTTCTCGGAATCGTCAAGAAATTTTTCTGGTTTCAGTTTTTGAACATAATTTCAAAAATGGGAACAACATTTAAATTAAGAATTATAGAGGTGAAACATCTGAGGCAACAAATTTAAAAACTGGATAGTGCTGAAATAATTTGCTCTATTTACATATTTGATTCTTTATCTTCAAACGAATTTTAAAAAATCTTATACCACTAAAGTACAAACAGCATTTCTTGATTTTTAGTGAACACATTTAATTAATATTATTATTGTTAACAACAATAATAATAATAATTATTATCATTTATTATATTTTAAATTTGTTTATTATTATTATTATAGTTTTTATTATAAAAATGATATAACAAAATAGAAGATTCGTATAATATTTTTGTAAATAAATTAATTCAAGTTGAACAAAAATGATGTTTTATTATATTTTAAAGTATTGTTAAAAATAATTAATAAATCCTGTAAAGAAATAATAGCGAATAAATTTTTCACGCTAGGTATTTTTCTTTCAACACCCTTCTCAGTATCTTTCCAGTTTGAGATTTTGGAACTTCTTGAACGAACTGCACACCACCGGTCAGTCGTTTGAATGCGGCTACTTTCCCTGTTCAGTATAAAATTTTGCTTTTTTACCAAAAAGAATGTATCACTGTAATGAAATATAAATTGAAAAATCTAACGCGAAAAATTTCTTAAACTAAAAGAATATGAAAATGCAACGTTGTTCAGTCGCAACTATCAGACTAACCAACACCTACCAGCCATTGAAGCAACAAACCTGCAACGAATCTGACCAACTCCTCCTCCCTAACCGACCCATCCTTCTTGAGGACCACGTAAGCACGAGGCTTCTCTCCAAGTTTGTCGTCGGGAACTCCGATGACTGCACTGTCCGCTACCAATGGATGGCTCAACAGGATGGACTCCAGTTCTGCGGGTGCCACCTATCATATAATTTTACATATTTTTAATTCTCAATAATTTAGATTAGAAATCTTTACTTACCTGAAAACCTTTCACTTTAATGAGCTCTTTACTTCTATCAAATAAATATAGAAAACCATTTTCATCAACTGATCCAATGTCACCTGTTGGCGGCTCGTCATTTTAAAAATTTATTTTATTAATTTTCTATTCTTTTTGTCAACGAGCTTCAAATATTTAATTGTAGTTGAAGTTCCACATACTTGTGTTAAACCAGACGGTTGTATCACAAAAATTAGAAAAACTGAAAATTTTAGCATGATTTTTATGCGCGAGCAATAAAACAATATTTTTTTTATTATTTGGCACTTGAAATATCATCAAAAAAATCTACTACGCAAATAAGCGGTGTTTTAATTAGATCCAAGCAAGAAGTTGATGCGTTTTTACTTGTGCAACCAACGTCTAACAGCTTGAGGTGTTTTTAAAATCACAAACTAGCGAGTAAAAAAGTCATAATTATTTTTCATATATGAGCATGAGCAAGCGCGGTTCTAAAAAAATCTTTTTTATTTTCTAACTTGTTAAAATTGAAAATGATTTTGTGGCATCAATTTTCTAGTATTAAAAATGATTGCGTATTGCGACAAACGCATATCTTCCAAAAATCACGAGATTGAAGTATTTAAAAAAATCATACATGTATTAGAATGGTTGAAATTTGAAAACCTGTGCGAAGCCATCCATCCTCTGTGAATGTCTGCTCGTTGGCAGCTGCATTTCTGTAGTAACCTTTCATAATTTGAGGTCCTCGAACACACAGCTCACCATTTTGGTTTCTCGGCAGAATTTTGTTATTTGCGTCAAGAACCTGAAAGAAAAAAATATTGTCACGATACTTTTTTATTATTTTATTAATGTTTTTACATATCTTTTCGGTTTTATCAGATTTTAAATAATTTTATTTTTGATATTTATTTAACTGAAATAATCTTTGTCTGTTATCTCGTTTTAATTATTTAATTAAAATAAAAAAATGAATTAAAAAGGAAAGACTTTGAGTTCAGTGTGAGCTAGCAATGTTCCGACAGAATCATCTTTCAGCCTGCTGTTCAGGTTAATAGACAGTGCTGGACTGGTCTCTGTCAGTCCGTATGCTGCTTGTTTTGTTGGTTTTTAAAAGGTTTTAATTTTTTTTAGACTTGAATAAATTTTTTTTATATGTATAACCTTGTTTGACAATGGCTCCTGCTTTTAACTTTTTCCTGATTTCCTCGATCAGACTGACGGGGGTTGGAGCCGCCCCCGTCACAATGGCCCTCACATTCGGAAATGTGGTGTTGATTGCGAGGGGGTGGCGACACATGAAGAGTAGCATCGGAGGGACAACAGTCAGATATGAACACTGCGTTATCATAAAACTAAAATTCATACATTGCTAAATAATACTTTATTTCTGAAAAGTTATTGAATCATTTTGTTATTTTATCATGAAAAATAATAATTGTTAACAATACAAAATGTTGTTAAATTGTTGCATAAAAAGAATACTTACTTAGTTGAAATACTAAAAATAGATTAACATAGGTAAAAAATGGAAGCCGTTATGTCGTAATTGTTAATTTATTACAACGGTCTATTTTTAATGCGAAAATGTGTCAGACTACTGCAAGCAATGTCTACAATTCATTTTCAGCGCGATTCACGTACGCTGTGTGCATGTGTTGTTCCTATCTCTAAAATTAATTCAGGAAGAAAAAAAATTATCTTTTTTCTTCAATTTTTAAAAATAAAGTTTTTTGCTTTTTCCCCAAATAAACGGACTCCGCTATTTTGCCAAAAGATGCTTAAATTCTCCTGGTCCTGAGTTGCGGTGACCAGGTTCAATTTCAAACAGATCTCAGCCTATTGTACGCAGAAATCATCTGATGTTTTCATTTATGTGATTTGTAATGCTTAAAAATAAAATCATAATAACCATGTAATCTTAAATACTTAATCCAAAAACTCTTCAACCCCCCTGCATTTTTTATGGTAGTGGAAGCCAGAAAATAAAATGGATCTTAATTAGCTTCAAATAGTTGTCCAGCATTTCACTGTTATAAGCAAAATAATTAATCAACCAACTTTGTAATAATCGATGCATTTCAGAAACATCTCAGGATCAAACTTAGACATGATGATTTGTGTGCTTCCGGTCAGGAGGCAAGCCAGCATGTTGGCCATGCATCCATATATGTGAAAGTAAGGAAGAACTGACAGTATTTTATCTTCTTTGTGGTAATCCAGCCTTTCGCGATCTCTTTCGTAAAACAATTTAACATGAGATTTGTATTCATTTTATTCAATTAAATTAGAGTGTTTTAATAAAAGCGTATAGTATCTGCCTATACATTTAGTTTAATTGAAATTTAACAAAAATTATATCGAAATAATTCCTTGAACGACGGTTTTAATTATTCATAAAGAAACCTCAAAAAATTAGTAACTAATTTTATTGCAATGAACACCTGTTGCGCTGTTTTGAAGTAAAAGTCTTGCGTTGAAGTGGCCTGCTTCGTATGCACGCATTTCTCGTTATGCGTAAGTTTTCTAGCATTCCTCTCAAGCGATGACCATATGAGATAAATATCTTTTTCAATTTTTTCAAGTGGCATAATGATTTTGCTCATTTTTACTTAACAATTTAAATTTAAAAAAATAATTAACGGATTGATAGACTCATAACGATTAAAGAATTGTACTGTTTTGCATGAAGGAATGCTTATAGCCGAAGTATTTGTATACTTGTGATAAACGATAAAGTTATGTTACCATAAAATTAATTTTGAGGTAGTTTCCTGGCAAGTAATGAATAATTTCAAAAGAACTTTTAAAATAAAACTGCTACAAAATCTAAAATTCTCACAAAACTTGTTGAGAGTTGCAGATGACATTGCGATGAGTGAGTTGCACGGCTTTCGGAACACCAGTTGTGCCACTGGAGAACGGCAGAACAAACGAATCATCCATCAGTATTCCGACATCTTTAACATCTGTTAGCAGGCAGCCATCATCCTGCTCCAAGAAACATCCAGGACCACTATCCATCAATAGGACATTCTGTATAATTGATTTGCTGCTCGCTTCATAAATTCAAGTGCCTATGCATAAAACTCATTTGAAATAACGTGCATTTAATTGAATCATCAGCACGTTTATCAAAGCACATCTTGTCTGTATTTGTAACATGTTATGGAAAGCATTTTGATTGTAGAAATTCAAGATACTGTGGCAATCCCAAAAATAAGTTTAGCCTTTAAGTACGCTTCACTTAAACATCAAAAATATTTTGAAGGATTTTGTGTGATAGAAACTTCAACAATAGTATACAACAAATTCAACCAACCTATTCAAATCATACATTATTTAACTTACATGAATGTATTTATGTTTATTTATTAAATGATAACAAGATCTACAGTTGAGTTTTTAAGTCTATTTATAAAATTAATTTTAAGATATCGATTAGCTATTCAAATTAATAACATTTTACATTTCCATGGTTAAACATGCCCTATTACTTAATAAAATTAAAACAGTTTCAAAAAATGCCTATAAAGTGTTTCCATTACTTTCACGTAAGGACATTGAGGAAGTATCTGCTGAACGACTCCAACCAGCAGACGAGTTGTGAAAATTATTGATGGCTCTACTTGTGAAATCAACTTCATCAGTTCATCTGTAACCAAAATTTTATAGCGACAAAAGATTCAGATGATTGCATTGTGAATGAACATTTTCAGTACTGGAATAAGAGCATTTGATACAAATTAATTTTGTTCCTTAAACAATGTTTGTTAGAACAAATTATTAAAATCAGACAAAAAAAAATAAAAGTTATTGTTATGGAAATGTTGAGGGTATGAAGTAACCTGCGTTATATAAGTAGTTGATGGGACTGCACAATGCTCCGATGAGTGCAACCGCCAGGACAACAACCGGGTAGTTGATGCTGTTCGGAGAGAACAATGTCACCACATCTCCTTTCTTCAGGCCCAAACTCAGCAGGATGTTGGCAGTTTTCAGAATCTTCCTCTCCAGCTCACTGAATGTTAGTCGCTCGTCTGTCTCTCCGTTTATCTGTTGAACAAATGTCATCAATGAATTCGTCGACTTTTCAAATATTTTAAGTCACAACTTATATTCCATGCAACAATTAAATAACTTTAAAGTGGAAATATTTTTTTAAATTACACAAGATTCAGGACAATTAATTTGGATGAAAAAAAAGCAAACTAACCAGTGCAGTCGAGTGGCCATACTTGGACATGCTGTCCAAAACATATTTAGCCACGTGATCGTTTCTGAATTTTAACGTCTCAGTTGAATTTCTGACGATGTTCATTTGAATGTCTCCATCATGTTGGTGGTCGTTCAAACTGCTGAAACAACGGCAGCCTGCATGTTTCCATTTTTTACTCAGCTGTTTCATCAAGACATTACATCGTCTTGTATTAAGAACCACAAAATTAAACATGTCTAATAAAAATATAGAATGTATAAAAAAAATTTTTTTATGTAATAAAAAATAATTAAAAATTTAACTTTAAACGGTCCAAATGAAGTTATTTTGTTGAACGTTGAATGGGCATTATAAAGCTTCGTAAAGCAAGATTCATTCATTCATTCGTTCTTTCAAATGGTTATTATTCTGCGTTCGTTCATTATCAAGCTGAAACCACACTGCTTGTAAACAATTCAGCTACTGTGCGATGCGATATTTAGAGCTTTTAATTAGGATTCAAATCAACACGCATCGTACACAAAACAATCTTTGACTCACTACAAAACAAACTCACTACACTAAATGCAGACGCTTCAAGAGGTACACACGTAAAACAACATTCAATGTATTTAAAAAATGTTTATTGACCACGCATCAGGCATTTATTTCTTTTTGGTAGTCAATGATTTATTTTCAAAAAATTGTTAGGAAGTTGTTAGGAAGAAACTTAAATATAAGACTCTGACACGATGTGTGATATCATTGTGTGTAAGATTAGTCGAAATTGAGAGTATATTCAATTTTATTGAGGGCAGGGTGCATTGAAATAAAAATATAATGAAAACGCTGACCCGACGATGACTTGATATTTTAAAAGAATTTCCATCACATAGCATGCCTGAAGCAATCACCTAATTCAAAATTTTATTGCAGGCTAACATGTTATTATTTACGATCATTTGGAGGTCAACTTGTCTAACATGAATTTATAGTTTATAACTAACATCCAACATTTTGCTGAATTAAAAATAACGGCTATTAGTGATTTTATTTTCACGTTCATTTCTATATTTTTCTTACAAATAACTTAACATCCAACAAAATGCGCTTTAAATACAGAAAAAAATTGAAATTAAAATTACCGATTTTGCAATTTAAACTAAACAACTGTTGGTAAATCATCAACTGTCAATCTTTTAATTGCTAAAGCGCCCAGTAGTTAAATTGCACAAACACGTACAAAGAAATCCACGGTTGAACCAAATAAGCATTTTAGTTGTCATCTATATTTTAATTACATTTAAGTTTTATGTTTTCAGTTCAAGATAACAACAATTTTGACATTTAGTTGATAAATTTATTTTATAGTCGTTTTTAAAAACTTTAAAGGCAATTTATTGAATTGTTTGAGCATAATAGAGGATACAACACCATAACATCTTTCAAATATATAACAAGTTAGTTAAATAATTATGGGAAAACATGAAATGAAACAGCCACAGTTTCATGATGTAACATAATTCCAAGTGATGTTTAATTCAGTTAACATCGAGTGAACATAAAATTGTTTGAGAGAATGAACCGGCAGCGTGTGCAGCAGATATCACCTCTGACAAAAACCGTAACGTACTCGTTATTTTTAAAGTGGGTTACAGCACAGCAGAATGAAATCAATCATTGAATATTTTCAAGACAACAACTTTTCTTTCAACACCCTTCTTAATATCTTCCCAGTTTGAGATTTGGGAATTTCCTGAACGAATTCCACGCCGCCGGTCAGTCGTTTGAAGGCAGCTACTTTACCTGTCGAAGGAAATTAAAATGTTAATGAGAGACAGAAGTTATTGATCATTCCAATCAAAATCATCCGTAACTTTTATACAAAAAACAAATTTTGTGGCAATTACTGCTGTTGCTGCTATAATGTGAAAACCACGAATGAAGTAAACATTGAAAACGTAAACACTGTCCAAACATGACAAAATAGGTTTTTTTCATGATCAGCCAAGAAACTTCACACCGACCTTCGACAAACTGAACCAACTCTTGCGCTTTGACAGAATCGGTTTTCTTGAGGACCACGTAAGCACGAGGCTTCTCTCCAAGTTGGTCGTCGGGAACTCCGATGACTGCAGTGTCAGCTACCAATGGATGGCTCAACAGGATGGACTCCAGTTCTGCCGGAGCTACCTGTCGTCCCATTATTAAGTTTTTAACGTTTAATATTTAAATTTTCATGGTAATAAAAATATTCACCTGAAATCCCTTAACTTTGATGAGTTCTTTGCTTCTATCAAACAAATATACAAAGTCTTTCTCATCAACTGATCCGATGTCGCCTGTTTAAAAGCAAGATTTTCAGATATTTTCTCTTATTATCAAACGTGTAAATATAGTAAAAATTAGTAAACATTTAAAATTAGGAATGTCTATTAAAGCACGAAATAATTTACACTGACCAAGAAATTTTTATCACTACCTGTGCGAAGCCAGCCATCTTTCGTAAAAGTTTGTTCGTTATCAGCGTCGTTTTTGTAGTAACCCTTCATGATCTGTGGTCCTCGAACACATATTTCACCATTTTGTTGTCGCGGTAGAATTTGATCATTTGCATCAAGTACCTGCATTGGTAAAACACCATAATTAATAAAATAATTTAAATGCTTTGTGAAGAATTAATGAAATCACTTGAAAAACTAGTGAAACATTGAATTCATTGGAAGTGGAACAAAAATACCTTAAGTTCAGTATGCGGGATGACCGGTCCAACGGAATCATCCTTCGGGTTACTGTTGAGGCCGATACAAACTGCGGGACTTGTTTCCGTGAGACCATAGGCTGCATTGAGACATTTTTATGAATCATTGCTGAAATATTGGCGCCAAGTTTATTAAAAGTGGATTTTTTAAAAAAAGATTTTGCACCAGTCAACAAATTTAATTATTTTAAAAAAATTCCAAGAGGAAAATTTTTGGGAAGATTGATTTTTAGTTATCACAACAAAAATTTAAAATAAAATGTCTGGTAAAGTAACAAATGCCGAATTAGACATGTCAAACATTAGAATCAAATCAAAAGATCATATTTCCATTATTGCGAGTTATACAAGTAAGTCCCTTTTAGTCACGCTTAACAAAAAGCTCTGAACATCAACAATACAAACGTAGGAATTCAAAGTATCAATATAACATTTATAATTTTTGAAAAACTTCTACTAAAAAAATTTAAAAATTGTTTAACCTTGTTTTACGATGGCCCCTGCTTTTAACTTTTTCCTGATTTCCTCGATCAGACTGACGGGAGTTGGAGCCGCCCCCGTCACAATGGCCCTCACATTTGGAAATGTGGTGCTGACCGCGAGGGGGTGACGACACATGAAGAGTACCATCGGAGGGACTGCCGTCAAGTATGAACACTGTTAGACGTTTAAAAATATTGGTTTGTTAAAATTGACCCATTTTGGTTATATATTTCTAATTTATTGGACCCATGGAATTATTTGGTGAATAAAACTCTTAGCGTTTTTAATTGAGAACCAGCAATAATATGCAAACACCTACATACAAACACCTACACACAAACACACACAGACACATGACAATTATTGAACTTCGTATAATTAGCTAGCCTGATATTGATCGAGACATTTGAGAAATACTTCTGGATTGAACCTTGACATGATGACTTGAGTAGCACCAGTGACCATGCATCCCATCATGTTAGCCATGTAACCAAATATGTGAAAGTAAGGCAGGACTGATAATATTCTGTCCCCATTGCGAAAATCCAATCTATCTGGGTTGCTGTTTTGGTAAGCAATTATCTACTAATTACAAATAGTAGATCAATAACCAAATTATATAACAAGCATTAAATGTATGATGTGCGTGTGGATGTGTATATGAGTGCAAGGTATGCGTGTATACAAATTTTAAATCTCACAGTGCTTGTTGGAGGTTGTAAACAAGATTACTGTGCGTCAACTGGACGGCTTTCGGGACACCAGTGGTACCACTGGAGAAGGGCAGGACAGCAACATCTTCGGTGCATATGTCGACGTTTCTGACGTCTGCGATGGGGCTTTGAGAGTTCTGCTCCACGAAAATGTCGGAGTCGGAGTCTATGAGAAGGACACGCTGTGCAAGTAGAGTAGATTGGGGGCTATTTAGATTAAGTCGGATAACAAGTTTGTACTGGTTTTTGAAAAGCTCACAACAATCACAACCAGTTTTTGTTCAACCATAAAATTTAAACACATTTCAACTAGCCTGATAATGATCTTCGACATTGTCAATATTTTATGATTTATAATATATATATATATATATATATATATATATATATATATATGTGTGTGTGTGTGTGTGTGTGTGTGTGTGTGTGTGTGTGTGTGTGTGTACATACATGTGTATTATGTATATATATTTATAGTGGCGGATCTAGACAACGAAGAGGGCCAAAAATTTGAACATGTTTAAATTCTCACTAGGGACTGGGGCAAAATTTTCACGGGAGAGCCAAAATTTGTTTTAGTGTGGCTGACGGCCTTTTTTTTGCTTATCACATTCAATTTTTGGTCGATTTTATACATAAATACTTTTTCTGACTTTTTAAAAAAAATGCTCACAACGGGAAATGCCTGTTCTCACCGGCCCGAAGTTCATACTTATATAAAGTTCGTTAGCGTTACAACATTTTGATTTATTTCAGCCAAATTTAGTTTCCATTTGGTAAAGACACGTTTAAATGTCGTAACGCACATCTTGAGGTTAAAATCTGTGTTGTTTCACTTAAAATAGTTTAGCATTTTTACAAACAGCAAGTTTCATAACTATTATGAAAAACATACATGATACATGTCTTCATCTACACCGCAAATATATTTAGAAAGATTAAATTCTAAAGAACATGTGTGACTGCAAATTTTAAATAATATTCTTGTTTGTTTTTTGAGATTAAGTTTTTATTGATCATTATTTTAATTTAACCTCAGTCACGATTAACAACTGATTATTATGATTAAATTTTTTCCAATTAGGAGCGTTTCCAGGTAAAACTTAGCTCATTGTTGTTTCGAATAAAGTATGTTTTAAGGGAGATAGTCAAAACGCAGAAAACTATAGTGTCATCTATAGAAAAAATGCTTCTTTTTTTCTTGTTTACTAATTTAGAAAAAAAACTTTTATATATTTATAAAATATAAAATTAAAAAAACGTTTTTTCAAATTTGGACGTTCTTCAATTATAATTAGATCCATTAAATTTTTCTGATCCTAAACGTAATTGATGGAAATATTTTGTGGCTAATTTGGTTTTGAAACAAGACATACGAGTTACTTTAATGTACGGACACTGTGGAAGTATCTGGTTGACTGTCGCGACCAGCTGGCGTGTCGTGAAGACTGTTGACGGCTCCACTTGTGACACCAGCTTCACCAACTCATCTGCAATTACGTTGAGGTGTTTAAATTTAACGGTTCGGTCGAGATGTAAACTAATTTTTTTTTTGTTTTTTTGCAATATTCAAGGTCTTTTGTTAAAATATAATTTTGATTTTGTGTTGAGAAGAGAATGTCAAACTTTAAAAAACAGGCCACAGTGCAGTGTTTTTAAACTATCAGACAACTTGTCAGATGAAGCCAATTATGAATAGCATGCCCAACTAATTCAAATTCACACAGTCGCCTGTTCACATTTCGCATTAATTAACAACTGACGAATGTTTAATTAAGCCAACCAATATCTGATTTCAACTTAATCTTAAAGCTTTTGTTTTACATTTTTCAACAACGTTAATTTTTCATTATTTCCGATGGAACGTTCAAAATATTAACACGTGATTTAAACGTGTCGGAGGTAACTAGATGGAATATTTATAAGATTTCTTCCATTGAATCACGCATAGGATTTGAATTCAAGCACTTGGCTTGAACGCTGACCTGGAATTGTTTGCCTCTAGATTATTCTTTTTATTACTTCTTGCCAATCATCCATCATCCAACCTAAACTGTTAGAATGTCCCTGCATAAATTATGATGAATAGGTGACGTTATGGCTGCTCTTATCATTCCGGAAAGATTTATAAGAGAAAGAGAGAGAGAGAGAGAGAGAGAGAGAGAAGAGAGAGAGAATACGAAGAGACATTATCGGTATATAATAAAATACTAAGATTTGTATGTTAAAGATTGTGGATAGTGTATCAGTTAGTAAACCAAAATATAACAATGGTGTAACGAAACTATGCAAATTTTAAAAAATTTCAAAACCCACAACAAGCTGTTCTGTTTTTCTGAATAATGCAAAAAGATTCTACAAAAAATTTTACGTCCGAAATATATAATTGTTTCATTTGCTTTTTGAATTTTTAAATGTTAAAATTGGTTGCATATTGAATGACCAAAATTATTTTTTACACTCGATAAGTTAATTAAAATTGATAAAATAATTACATCTGAATTTTAAATACAATTTAATATTTACAAAATTTTGAAGTGACCTGCGTTGTATAAGTAGTTGACGGGACTGCACGATGCTCCGATGAGTGTGGCAGCAAACACAACAACCGGGTAGTTGATGCTGTTAGGAGAGAACAATGTCACCACATCTCCTTTCTTCAGGCCCAACCTCAGCAGGATGTTGGCAGTTTTCAGGATCTTCCTCTCCAGCTCACTGAATGTTAGGCGCTCGTCTGTCTCTCCGTTTATCTGTTGAGCAAATTTGTCAGACGTAATGCATAACAAAATGTTAGCCATATATATTGTAATGATAAAATTGAGGGTTCAATCGAATGACTAATTTTTGCGGTTCATTTTGAAATATTTGCCATCTGTTAGCTTGCGATATAACAATGTGATGGTAACGAGAATTTTGCTCCACAAGGTTGCCACGTTTGTTATTTAATTTTTAAAAGTTGAAAGTTTCAAAATGAGATGGCTGTTGCGATGGCTTTGTGGCTGATGTTCTTCGTTTTGTTCGGTGAATCGGTTTCCAATGGGAAGAAATCATGCTGATCACAATCTGAAGTTTACGGTCGGCTTGTTTTGAGTTTTAATATTCAAAAACGCTTTTGAATCTAGTTGAAATATTATTATAAAATATAACAGCATATAATCGAATGATTAATTGATATGTGAAATAATGAAACAACCAGCGCAATGGAGCTGCTGTACTTGGACATGCAGTCCAAAACGTATTTGGCCACGTGATCATTTTTGAATTGTAAAATCTCCGTCGAATTCCTGATGACATTTTTTTCGTCGTCACTTTTCTTTTCAACTCCATCCAAACTGCTGCAACATCGGTGGAAGCATTTAATTTTTTTATCCAGTTGCTTCAATAAACCACGAAAGCCTCTTAAATAAGATATAAAATAATTATTCATGTTTGTTTGAATCAATTATCTTAAAAAACTACTAATCTCAAAACTGTTACGAAAATAAAATTATCTACACAACGCTATTCTTAGCAAAGGTATATTCACAACAAGACTGCTAAAATGTTTAGCATTATTATTATTATTATATAGCTCTGCAAGACTCTGACAGTCTCATAATGATAGTTTGAACCTTTCACTAATAAATCATACTTATTTATATCTTGCTACTGTAATACGCATTAAGGATTACACATAGGGTTATAATATTCAACATTAAATCTTCAAATTAAAATGAAAAAATAAACTTCAAATTTAAAATCAAAAGTAATGTTAAAATAAAAAGTTTTAATAATGCAAAGTGCTGCTGATTCAATTTTTGAAGCGCACAATCAGGTAGGTCATTCATAAGCTGACTTCACAACGAGCTGCTGACGTATAGGTAGACCCACGTCCTCACCTCGCGTAGTCGTTTCAAATGCGTTACGGTATAATAAAGTTGTATGCGAAATAGAAAATGTTTCATAAAACATTTTTGAGATTGTATATTATGTCGTGTTATTAATAACTACATAAGGCAAAATATTTTTCAAAATTAAGTCACAAATGTTTAAAATTGAATGAATTGAACCGCACAAGAACATTTCAAGTTAGACCAAAATTGAAAAAGTGAAATGCGTCTCAGTATATAAAAAAATTATTGAAATTGTTTTTTGTCAGATAATCAACTTTTTCAGAATATTAAAAAGTTTTCCGAAATACGATGTTCACTTTTATTTGCAGATTCCCTGAAAACTGAATCCAATTCGGTCTACTTGCAAAGATGTTTAACTTTGTGAAATGTAATAAATGAAAATTTGTCTGTTCTTTGAAAAGAATTATTTTATTATGACACTTTGACGAACTCAGGTCAGCCTAAAAATCATCCCTCACTTACTTAGCAACAGATAGTTCGATTTCGTGCAAGGCTGTCCCATTTTATAGACTGATAACAGTGGCGGTGTGATGAATGATGAGGATGATAATAATAATTAAAATTGTTATTTTTATTGTTTTTATTATTATTGTTGTTGTTGTTATTATTATTATAAACAAAGCTCAAATCCTTCAAGCTGCTTCCCTGAGGACTTTTTTTAATAGTTTCCCAGTAGGACTTTTTGGGATCTGATCGACGAATTGAACTCCTCCCTTCAGCTGTTTGAATGGAGCCACTTTTTCTTTAAAAATTATTAAAATGTAAAATAAAAATTTGTTTTTAATTTAAAATTCAACAATCAGTAAATGAAATTTCAACGCTCTGCTCTGATTTTCAATAAAATTTGTAACGATAAAACTTACGAATTTGTTGAACAAAATAATAATTTTCATGACTCCATAATGAACAAATAAATAAATTACAAATTTAAATTCAGAAACATTTTACCACTTCAAAAACATTCAACGGACCTGCAACGAATCTGACCAACTCCTCCTCCCTGACCGACCCATCCTTCTTGAGGACCACGTAAGCACGAGGCTTCTCTCCAAGTTGGTCGTCGGGAACTCCGATGACTGCACTATCCGCTACCAATGGATGGCTCAACAGGATGGACTCCAGTTCGGCGGGTGCCACCTATCGATAATTTTTTTATAAATCTGTGTTTTATCATTTGTTACCCTCATCCATTTCTTTCTATCAGCATATCTTCACCTGAAATCCTTTGACTTTGATGAGGTCTTTGCATCTATCAACGATGAAAATGAAGCCGTCAGAATCAGCAAACCCAACATCTCCTACGAATTGAAAGTATGTTATAGTTAAAAATGCAATGAAAGAAAAAAAAACAAGAAAAAGAATAATTAATAGTTTTAAAATTGTACTTAAAACATTGATCATTCTATTATAGTAAGTCAGGTTAAGTCATTCTATTATAGTAAGTCAGGTTAAGTCATCAGCATTTAATTTGTATGCCTATTTTTGTTCAATACAAATTTTCAAACATGTTTAACCTTATTATATCGCTCTGTAACGTTTAGTTGACTTATAACTATTTAACAACCTTAAGATGTTTAAAAGCAATAAAAACGGTTTTATTTAAATAAAGTTTCATTAGTAAGGGGTAAATTGGACTGCATGGTTTCTACCGCACTCGGACAACATTTATCGAAATTTAAGAATGTAGGAAACCAGTTCGAAGCCAGCCATCTTCAGTGAATGTTTGTGCATCAGCAGCCGCGTTTTTAAAGTACCCCTTCATAACCTGAGGGCCCTTGATGCATAGTTCTCCAGCTCGGTTCCTTGGTAAAGCTTGATTATTTTCGTCAACTATCTACATGTTTTACATAATGGTTAATATTTATTAATACATTACATTATTTGTTATAGTACAAATACAGGCTACAATCGATTCAACGTAGAAAAAAAAGTACACAACTTCTGAAGTGCTTATTGAAAACACGCGCGACATACACAGTCATTCCAAGATGAATTAATTTTTATTTTAAACATTTGTAGCATGTAGACATGTAAAAACATTTATTATTGCATAATACAAATATATCAGTATTTTCGTTTTTTCCGATAAAGGATTTAATTGTATTTTTCACAGCTAATTCCACATTTAAGTCGCATTGTCATTATATGTTTTGACAGCTGATATAGCACGGTTTGTGTGTGAATAAATTCATTTGATTTTACGCAGTAGTTTTTGGTCGGTGCCCTTTGAAATATAAAGAGCAATAAGCAGCATTTTTGTCATATTTTACTTTTTTACTATAGAAAACGTAAAAACGATGTCCAAGCCAGAAAGAAATTAACCGATGCGTCTTTAGATGATGTGTTGATAATACGCCAGGGTTAGAACTCGTCTGCAAAATTTCAATCTGTCAATTTTGATGTCGAAGATGCCCCACGTTTTGGAAGGCCAGCTGAAACTGATGAAGACGCGAGAAAGCCAATAGTTGATGCAAACCAGCGAAACATGTGAGATTGTTGAGAGGTTAAATTTATCAAACTCAACTGTTTATGACCACCTGAAAGGTCTGGGTTTAACTATAAAGCTCGATATATGGGTTTCCCATGCTTTCACGGAAAGAAATTTGTGTCGTCTTGTTAACGTCTGTGCTTCACTCCTCAAACGTCCCGAAAATGATGCATTTTTAAAGCGCATCATTACTGGGGACGGAAAATTGGTTTAATATAACAATGTCAAATGCAAGAGAGCATGGAGCAGAAAAGATAAGCCAGCTCAAAGTATTTCAAAAGCCGATACCCATCAATAAAGGTGATGCTCTCTGTTTGTTGGGATTTTTAAGGGGTCTGTTTTTTGAGCCTTTACTGGATAACACAACAATTAATTTGGAAGTCTACCGTCATTAGCTGGACAAACTGAACGATGCACTTTAACAGAATAGGCCAAAAATTAATCAACAGAAAAAGTGTAGTGTTCCACCAAGATAATGCGTGACCTTATACAAGTTTGGTCACTTGCCAAAAGCTTTTTACAGCTTTGATGGGAAGTACTGCCACACCCACCATACTCTCCAGACTTGGCCTCTTTGGGTTATTACTTGTTCCGGTCACAGCTAAATTTGTTAGACAATCAAACCTTTACTTCAAATTAACACGTCAAAAATCACCTAAATTAGTTTTTTGCCAGCAAAGACCAAAAATTGTATGAGCGTAGAATAAGGCCACTACCGGAAAATGGCAAAATGTGTTGGATCAGTATGGTCAATATATAATTTAATTAAATATTTATTCATTGTACAAAGATCGTATTTTATTTTCACCACAAAAAATGAAATTTTTTTCCGGACAACCTGATAATATTAAAATGCAAAATCTATTTTGCATAAAATTTGAAATATCAATTTTTTTTAACTATTGTTGACTTTGGTCAAAATTGGTAAAATTTTGGATTTAATTATTTGATATAATATGATATTATATAATATTATTTGATGTGAAAATTTTATATAAATATTACAAATGAAAAGAATTCAAAAAATATAAAAAAAACCAGCCTTGATTTTAGTGTGAGGAAGAACGTGACCGACAGATCCATCTTTCGGCAAACTTGTCAGAGATATGCTCACAAGAGGACCTGTCTCTGTCATGCCGTACCCTTTTTGTACGTGTTATTAATATTTTTTTAAATTCCAATGTTTTATTGTTATAAAATATTCCAGTATTATGTAGGTTCACAATTTCTAATGTAAAAAAAATTGAACAAATCATCAACATGCAATTATAAGCCATCGACCTATGACAAAGTTTGAAAAAATTCTAGCTATGTTGTTATTTTTTAGTCATCGTCAAAATGTTCTCATCAACATTGTTTGCGACAAATGATTGAGTATATCGAGTAGTGAGTTACCTTGTTTGATGATTGCATCCTTATTTAGCTTGACCCTGACTTCATCGATCAGGTTGCGAGGGAGGGTGGTGGCTCCGACCAAAAGCCTCCTGACGTGAGATAAGGTAGTACTGGTGGCCGTCGGGTGGCGACACATGAGCAGTAGCACGGGAGGGACTGCAGAGATGTAGGAACACTGTGTTTGTTGTGTTCCAAAGCATTTAATAATGTCGTAATGTTTAATTTTGTTTTTTATTTGGTATGTCTGACAAAAGTAGAAATGATTGAATGTTATTCTTTACTTATAATTAAACTTTCCTGCCACAAAGGCTGTAATATTTATGCTTTATGTATGCACGCACAAGCACCGCACCTAACACGCGCGGCGTAGGAAAGTCTTTGAGTTTCGGATCGACAGTATTCGAACCAGGCCATCGTGTAACTGTACAAGACATGGCACTTTTACTAACTGAGCTAATTTGCCTACCGTGTCAACATTATTCGTCAAGATGGTTTTACTGGAAATATGATCAATCCCGTTGCATAATTTTTGTAAATTCGTGTATACAACAATTACGATTATTAGAAAATTTTATATTTTGAACTCTAATAACTGACGTGATATTGCTTAACGCATTTGAAAAATAAGTTAGGATCAAATTTAGAGATGACAATCTGAGTGAGGCCAGCTGTAAGTCCACACAGCATGTTAATTACGTAGCCGTAACAGTGAAAATATGGAAGGAAAGCCAGCAGCTTATCACATGCAATGTAGTCCAGCCTTTCCGTGTGTCTGTAGAGTTTCATAATGTTTTCCAAATTGTCATTTCATAGTTAGATGGCCAGTTAATCAAATTATCTAATTTCTGAATTTGTAACCTCACCTTAATCACATAAACATTTTTTGAAAATGATTTTCATTCTAAAGATCAAAAAGTAAAAATATTAGAAAAAAAACTGTACATAGCTTGTTGAATGTTGTAAACGATATTGCGATGGGTTTGCTGAACTCCTTTCGGAGCTCCAGTTGTTCCGCTGGAAAACGCCAGGGTCATAACATCATCCATTGCTATGTTGACATCCTTGAAGTCTGTTACCGAACCAAGGTGGTGCATTCCAAGGAAGTTGTCTGTCTGGTCTCCAATCAACAAAACCTGCTGCAGGAAGTATCAAGTGAGAGCAAGTTAAGTGTTGAACATTATTTGATTATACTAAATAAAATTGAGTTGCATAGAAAGAAATTGTTAAATGAAGAAAACATTTCGATAATTAAAAAATGTTTTTTTTAATAATATCAGAAAATAATTCAAGAAACTGTTGGTAAATTTGTATTTTTTTTAATAATATCAGAAAATAATTCAAGAAACTGTAAACTTCTATAAAAACATTGAGTTTAATGTAAATGTCTAATTTGAAAAAAATATGTGAATTACCAACTTTTATAAACGGACAATCGGGTAAGATTTGATCGACAGTATTTTTCAATTGTGACGTTGTAACTATTACCTTGGGTTTTGTCAAGGAAACTGTTTTTTTCAACTCATCTATGTTTTAGAAATGTTGTTCATAATAAATTGTTAATAACAATTATTTTTAAAAATACTTAAAGTTGTACTTCATTGAACTAACCAACCTGCAGTGTACAAACTGTTAACAGGACTGCAGATTGCTCCGGTGAACACCGAACCCAACACAATCGCCGGAAAATCCAAATTATTCGGCGAAAAAATAGTCACCACATCACCTTTTTTCACTCCCAGTTTCGTAAAATAGTCAGCCGTTTGTAAAATTTTGCATTCTAATTCTTTATAGGAAAGTTGCTTGCCAGTTTCTCCGCTTATCTTTTTGTTAAATTCAATTTAAGTTTATGACTAACAGAGAAAATTAACGTGTTTCCTCTAGCCGTATACAAAACTATTTTTAAAATTTGTTCAAGTCCTCAAAAAACATTGAAAATGTTTTTTAAAACACAAATAACTGTTTGCATTAAAGTTTTTAACGATTCATTTTTTCCTGGTTTTTTCTTTCGTTACAAATGAAAAAAATCACTTTTAGATTCATTAACTTATAAAAAAAAAACTGTTAGCAGACTTATTTTGAATCCTTTCAAAAACGAAAAATTTTGAGCCAAAGATTATGTTGTCAGATGGATCATGGATGTATAATTTAAAATTTTAAGCAACTGTGGAACAACACAACTTCACGATGGCTGTCCACAACGGATGTCACGCAAGCTTTTATGCAAATTTTTGATCCCCTGTTACAAATTGTCACAAAATTTGTGACTTCCTCCCCCCTCAAAGTGTCTCACTCATTTTGCCCAGTCAAACTAAAAACAGTGTTCATTAACAATTCAAGCAATCTGAAATATTATAAACATTCTGAAAATATTACTGAGTTATGATTTATTAGTTTCTGCTAAATTATATTACCAGAGCTACAGAGTTCCCGTGTTTAGAAATGTTCTCCAGCATGAACCGGGCCAGGGGCATATCTTTGAATTCAATTTTTTCATTTGAATTTTTTAAAATTTGTCCATCGTTGTTTTCTGTGAAACATCTTTTAGAAACTATTTGCCTAGAACGCACCGCGTAACGTTTCAGCTGATTTGTTGACTGGTTAAAAGCTAAAACACAAAAATTCTTCAAATTCATTACAATTTCATTACAATGAAATGCAAGTTTAAATTTAATCGTTCAAATGAAAAGTTGTTGAAAGATATTTAGCGAGAGTACGCTTACAAGCAAACTAACGTGAACTTTGAAATTTCGAAATTCAACTGAAATTTTTATTATATGCCCTTCTTTCAAAACGTTTCTTCGTACAAGTTGTATGTGCACATCTGTATGAAGTAGCTTCATACTTCATTTAAATACACTCTTTAATTTGTTATTTTAGACGTTTTGTTCTCCTCAGTGTTACGATGTGGTTTTTTTAAAGTTTGAAAATAAACACATTTTTAGAATAAGTTTCATTAACGATTTACTTTTGCCACTTATCAGCTTCGATCGCAAAATATTTTTGTAGTTTTCTTTGTCCTCTTTGCAGAAGAGTCACATACAAACCTTTCACAACTTTAACATTTCAGTACTTTGGCATTTCTTTGAATTTTTTCGCAATGAAGTTAAATTAAATAACCAGCCGGCAGTTTTCTTTTGTTGCTTTGTTAGAATCATAACCATCGACACCGCAGTTAAACTTATTTAAATGACGGCCTAAGTAATTTTGAAAATAAGAGGCATATTTTGTTACTTGACAGGTTGGGGTCTTGTGTTATTTGGTTACTGGGGGTTATAGAAGACATCGAATGTGTTCAGGAAAGGGCTACTAAGATGGTTAAGGATTGCTGCATAGTTGTGACGTTCGAACTTTTTGAACTTTATTATTGTCTTGAACTTTTTGAACTTTATTCTTCGGCCATAAAGTTCAAAAAGTTCAAGTTTAAACATAGATATTATAATTATAATATCTATGAAATGATCGCTGCAAAAATTCGCCTCCAAAGTCAAATTATTTAAACATTTAAATAGCAATAAACTTTGTTTTAATAACGTCGTTATTATCATGTTATTGCCTTTCTTGATGTTTAAAAATATTGAATCAAGTTTATTAAGATGCAAATTAACTCCACCGTTGATGACATAATATCTATGCTCTCCTAAGCGACATTAAAAACTAGGTCATTCTCACTGTATAATTCTTTTTATTCTATTTTATCTAGTGCCTGACTATCTAATGTTTTTGTAAGCGATAGATTGTTTGTTATATTCGTATCCTGTTTGTACGCGTACGTAAGTTATTTATAATTAAAGGCTGAAAATCGTTGATAAACTTTTCAAATTTGATCATGCCAAAGGAAAAAGGGCCTGAATGGCAACATGTAATTTGCGTTAGTGATGACAGTGATGACAAACCGGATAACTTGCCAACCATTCAATGTATATATTGTGACAGAAAATTTGTTGGAGGTGCATTACGAATTCGTGGTCATCTGATTGGAGATAAAAAAATTGGTCTGAAGAAATGTAGTAAGGTTCCTGACATTGTTGCCTCCAAATTTTTGGAAATTGAAAGCAAGCGCCAAGAAGATCAGAAGAAAAAACAGCAGCTGGTCAGATTAAATCAAATAACATCATCTACTTTTACTACATCATCAACTTCTTCAAAATCAAATAATATCAGCTTTGGTAAGCAATCAATGTTGCCAGACATGATGAAGAAGTGTGCAAAAAATGTTGCAGATAGAGCAGTTGCTAGAATGTTTTACGCTAATGGATTACCTTTTAATCTTGCAGACAGTAAATACTTTAAAGATGCTTGCACATCTGTAGCACAGTGCGGTGCTAGTTACGTTCCTCCGAGCAGAAAGGCCATATCAACAAATTTGCTAGATGAGGAAGTCCAATCTGTTGCTCTTCGTGTTAATAGTCATTTGTCAGACACT